GACTTCTTGATACTCCTAGCCTTAGTCTGATGTCAAATCCATTTTTCACAACTAAATGTTGAGTTCCAGTGTAAAGAGGTCAGTTGTGCTTACATTTTTGATGTAGGCCTGGTTACACAGCATGTCAAGAGATGGCATGTCAAAAGACAGTCACTTTGCACATACCACTGAAAGTTGGTGTAAAAAGGGGTGTTTCAAATTTTGTCTTGAATTTTTCTGTGGAGGTGTACTTCTCTAGTATGTCCATGTTGTGTACCATCTTGTTTACATGGCTTCTGAATTCATGGAAGGCTTGCAGTGTATGCTGCACAAGGGTGCATCCAGGATTTTTCCTAGGAGGGGGTGCACCATTAAGGAATGGCATAAATGACTGGTGAGGTAACCAAATTTTAAACGCGAATACCAAGAAGAAGGTTTCATCTCAGGGGAGGGGGTGTGTGCACCCCCCGCACCCTCCCCCCTAGATCCACCCCTGCTGCAAGTCTGCCATGGCCAAAACAAGACTCTCAAAGGGGCAGGTATGTTTTGCAGGTTGCAGGTTGCAGGTTTAAGTCTACTTAGCACTTCCGTTAGCCTGAATAGCACTCCAGTTAACCTAAATTAGCTTAGGTTGCTTGCCAAGTCCCAAGGTGCCTGTGCGCCTATGTGGGCATTTTTGTCTTAAAGATAACAAGGAAACATGAGACCAGAACGATCACTTTGCCATGATTTAAATAGATTTCAAGTCGATACTGTCTCCATTAACAAACACAGGACTTGAGAATACTGCCGGAGAGCCTGGCGGCGACGAAGGACAGTCGAAGCAGAAATGTCGCTGTAACACGGAAGATGTAAGTAGTTTTTTCCGGAAGCGTGCTTTAAACTGCTACTACTGGTACGGAAGGTATTTAAATCAAACAAACAAGAGCAAAGCTCTTACCTGACAGCTTAATATTCAGCGATACGAAACATAAATACAAAGTGGTTCGAGGAAGTCACGTCGTCCAACCCTGCTAGTGTAGATTTCTCGGAAACAGGTTTCTCGTGTGCGCGTGCGCAAAAGTTTAAAAGACTGCTCAGGAATCGGGATTGAAAGGGAGCGGGTCGACGAAGGTAATGATATACGGAGCCCATTAAGTGCCATTAGGGAGCTTAAGCACGTGCGTTTTTGAGACGCGGACGGCAACCGGAAGAAAAGATTTCGCATGCTTGGACCGTATTGTCCCCCAGATTTTTATACTACTCATCTCTAACGAAGAAAAGATACTTAGCAATGTGAATATGATTGTGTGAGGACAAGTTTAAAGTGAAAAAAGCTCACTTC